GGGGGGGGGGGCGGCCTGCTGCGCCTCTCACGAACACACAACTCCGCTCTTTCTTTAGACGGGGCTGCTTGGCGGACGTCGGCAATGCCTACGAGTCGCAAGTTTAAACTTCTCCAGCGAATTGCTCAGGGGCAACCACGGAGGCCATGCTCCCAGGAATCAGTTTAAACTAATTACTTTATGTACTCAAAATAACTATGGGTAGATTTCATCGAGTCCATTATTTCAAATAGTGAATATAGGAACTCGTGCATTTTTACTTCAATTTAAAACTTAAAAAATTTACTATTTTAAAAATATTTTGGGAGCATGAACTGAAATTAGCCCCTTTTTAAAGTATTTGCTGGAACCGACTCTAAAAATGTCCGTATTTAAAATATTCGCACAAATTTGGAATATTCCATATTTGACTACTCAATGTTTCCTTTTAGCCGATCCGGTGGCCGAGATCGCTAAGGCAGTAGTGCCGTAGCGAACTCGGACTGAAAGATCGCGGGTTCGAGTCCCGCCTCGGGCATTGTTGTATTGTGTTTCGTCCTTTCACCCCCTATCATCATCATTATCGTGTTAACCCACAATTACCATACCGTCACAAGCAATAGTGGTCGCTAATGACCTAGTAGTTGATGCGACCTTAAATAAAAAAAAAGTTTCCTTTTAAGAGATATTCTATGAATGATCGAGGTTGAGTTTGAAAATGAGTTATTTTCTCTTCTGTTAAATTAATATTCTAAACTCAAGTAGTTAATATAGGGAAATTTAATTTAAGACTCACCGCACCAAAAATTAAAAGCATGAAACGAAACGTCTATTTCTTCTCCACGAATGAAAACCTCTTAGGTATTCGTCAAGTTCAACGAACCTCCAGCTACAAAGATAACAGCAACATCCAGACACATTTACAAAACATAAGGGATGCTAAAACCGTGATATTTCATAACCATGCGTAGAAATAATAACATATATATATCGTTGTGCTGCTTAAGAGAAGTGTCTGTTAACCAGCGAATTTGGGGAAAAATGTTTTAACGACAATCAGGAATTCAATTACACTATTACATTATTTTATAAGCAAACACTCGTCCTTGAATCTTTATCCACCAATAATTTTGATTCTTCTATCATTATACCTGCGACAACAATATCTCTCATTCAATCTATTCAGCATTCATCGACAGAATGCTCGAAAAAGTTTCATTTGAGAATGTTTATGCATACGGCGATCGCACTGCAATTTGGGTAAGTAGTATTTACTTTTAGCATTAATATTTTCGACAAGATTTATTTGTATATCCGAAAATACTGTACAGATGACACTACTGAAGCTATAGAACCACTAAAATCGCAAAGTAATAATTGTCAAATACCTGTTTAATAACTTATTGATATCATCAAATTCGCAAATGAACACCGGTATACCCTAATATTCGCCGCGTCAACAGAACAGAAAAGTGAATTTAACAGAAAAGGGGGAAATAGAATAGCTTGGATTTGGAACAAATTTTGATTAACTCCATTTTTCATATTGGAATGGGAAAAGTATCCCAAACAAAATTACCAACATATCCATAACAATTGTATGTTGTTCGAAAAGGATACAGAGTGACAGATAGAAATGAAAATTAATTTATCAAATATTAATTCAATGTAACCGGTCGCAGGAAAGGCCGGATTGGCCGGCTGTGTTATTGGAATAGAAAGGAAAATACAAAACATATTACGAAAGCAACAGATTTAGTTAAAAACATTGGCTAAATAGATGTTGACCTGATACTTTTTGGAATACTGAGAGAAACTTATTTTGTCAAACGGTATGCAGTACCTCATTTTAAGAAACGCTAGTTTTAACGATGAGGTATTTATTAACAGTAAAATATACCTACACAAGTGCAAGTACACCATTATTCACTAAAAAGAGAAAAATGAAGAC